ATAAAGTAGGGGATGAAGTACTAAAAATTAAGCATTCACTTTCTTCAGCACCAGAAGATAAAACTGCCAAATTTTTTCCACGATTTGAAGGACCATATGTTATAGAAAAAATAACTCACGCTGTTGTAGTGTTAAAAGGCCAAGAAATGGTGAAACCTGTTCCGCAAACATTGACCAGATAAAACCATTCTATGATCGTAATAAAATGCAAATCTTTTCAGATCTTTTGCAGGATCCGGTACGGCAGACACCGCAGGTACAAGTTCCAGAGGTGGGAAAACGACAAGTACAAGGGCAAGCCAATGAGAGACAGAAGCAAGTGAAAAGAAAATTGCCCCGCGGAAAAATTGAAGGTAAAAGAAAAAGAAGCCGTTCCACCGTCCAAAAACAGAGTTCACGAACACCCCCAGAATGAAGAAGGGAGAAGGACGACGTATGTGGAAAAGACCAGGAGAAAGGACGGCAACTATAACCCGGCTGTGAAACGGAAGATTGACTCATCCGACAGAACTCTCCGCAGCAAAAGTCGCCGAACTGCGGAAGGGCCATCAGCGGCGGAGGAAAAAGTACAAGAAAAATTTGAACGGCCAACAACGAGGTCCAAGCAGGATCACGACAGAAGTTTCCCGGTTTCCACCAAGACCAGCTGCCTTCAAACGGCCAAGACCACAAGCAGAGGACAAAGGAAGATGTTCAAGGGTGGCCGTAGTGGTGAAAAACGGAAGCTTCCAGAGGAAAGCACTGAAGGGCGAGCCCGTACAAGAAGGAGGATCAACCAAGCTACGGTCTGCAGCTACCTTTAAAGACTGGGCCCAGAAAAGGATGTCCTGAATATTACAAAGATAAGTAAAATTTTATGTTACTTTACAAACTTAAGTTAATCTTTCATTCTTACTGCAAGTGGCAGATTTCAAGAAGTTTTACCTCATGCGAGGTCTACCTTTATCGCCAAAAGGGCGAGAAATGAGTTGTGACCGATTTTCTTATTATGTTTTTCAATTACTCGCGCGTAAAACTAAAGTTGATGTATAATAGCGTTGTGTAAAGACTTAAATATTGTAAAAAGTTATTGTATAAATTTTATTTAAAACATTCTAACAAGAAAGAAGTTTTAGTCTGAAAGACTTTTTGAAATGTAGTATTATTTCAATGTAGAAAGAATTGGCACTTGCTTTGAAAAGAATAGAAGTTAACAATGTACTACTAATGTATGTTTTCAAATGTGTAAAATTAACGGCATGTTGATATGTTCTTGTATACATGTGAACTGTTATTTTGAATGTTTAGAAATACCGTGATATGGTAAAAGTGAAAGTAATGTTAAAAAATTTGTTATTCGTGTGACTGTAAAGATTAAATCATGGTGAATATGTGTTAAAGGTTGAATGATGTAGTTAGGCTCTCTGACGCTACACTTTAGAGTTAGCCACTTTCAGAATAGTACCTCAGGGTTAGAGTTGAAATTAGGGTGTGTTAAGAGGTCTCGTATGTTGAATTTTAACACGTTAGTGTTTTGATTGTAGGAGGAAGTGTTGAACACGTAGACAGAAACACATTCGTGTTTGGTGTTTTTTACAACACATGTCAGAGAGCACGGGGAGAGATAATTAAAATAGTCATGAATGAAATAAGAATGTTAAGAAAAAGTATATTCTATATGTTATTTGCCAATGTCATTCTGTAACATTTCATTAAACTAGTTTTCCTTCCAGATCTCTGGAAGGAACCAGAATTGAATAAAGCTCCTGTTTTGATGCAGTACAGATGAAAAAGAAAAAAGATTGTTGTATATTCCGGGAGCTGCTATTGTAACAAATTTCTTTCTTTTAAATTTTCTAGTTTCTAGCTAAGTTATGATTGTAAAAGGTTGGCCTCGCGTTAGTTTCTAGAGCTAAAAGTTTTCAACAAGGTCGTTTTAGACCTCAGTTTCAAACTAATTAACTCTGGCGGGAAGTATGTAAGGATCTTAAGTTTTACTAACGTTTATTTTATTTTAAATCTTTACTATCACTTCTTATTTTCTACTTCCGGCCAGAATTATAAGCGTGAAGGAGTTTATGCAAAGTTTGTCTGGCGAACGCCAAGTATTTAAGTGTGGCCTTTTTGCCAAGCAGAGAGAGAGGAAGCAGTGAGTTCGAAGCAGGCCGCTTACCTTAGAAGTTACGCAGTTGCTACTTTGCCTTCCAGGCCAGAGGTTTTAATCCTCTTGATAAATTAAACGTATTGTAGTGTTCACAGTCTCTGTGCTACATACGCTTCCTGTTATTATAAGGCCAATCTTCTTATTCTAAAGTTAAATTAGAGTTTAGTTTTATTTTGATATCTTTTAAGTTAGACCCCGAGTGGAGGGTCATTGTATTCCGAAGTACGGAAGTCATTGTATATAAAGAACAAATAAAGGGTTTTGTATACCCTTCGTCTGTATCCTGTCTACTTACTACAATTAGTGAACATAGCTTTAGTAAGCTCTCTGTTCTAGTCAGGTCATTGTATGTTTCCGAAGAAGGTTAGAAGAAACATTGAACCTGATACAGTAAGCTTGCAGAATGATGTTATTTTAAAATATGGTGAAACTAGTAATATATTTTGGAGCTTGGTGACCAGAAATCAGTATCCTAATTTAAATTCGTGCGAGGTAAAGATTAATTCTTACTGCTCAAGTACCTGTAATTGTGAGACAATGTTTTCGAATATGACTTATTTGAAGCCAAAGTATCGTTCAAAACTTGTTGATTCACACTTAGTTAATGCTTTAAGAGTATGCAACGCAAATTATATTGTCGATTGTGATAAGTTAGCAGACGAATTATAAGCACAAATTTCACTTTGGCGTATCAAAAGAAAATTATTTAAAAAGTATAAATTATAAATATTTGTTATTTAGTTCAATAAAGTTACATCTTTTAAACAAAACTAGTTTTTTATATGACGTTTGATTATAAAACCTGAATATGGAATATGTAGCGTCCGCTAAGAATTTAAAATTTTATTTTGTGCTCTCGATGACCAAAACCAAGAGAAAAAAGAGGTAATTTTTTTCAAATTTTTGGAGGACTTGAAAGTATAAAGGACCTGATAGAAGAATTGAGTTTTTGTCTGCCTTATGAAATTTCAGAAAATCGAATTAAGCCTTGTGGTTTGACAGTGAGTTCTTCGACATGCACTGTACACTCACTTCTCGCAAACAGAGAGAGACAGAATTCTTAAACTCTGGTATGTTAGTTTATCACTTCGCACATCGTTACCTGTTTAAGATCAATATGTCAGAACTGTTCACTATTATATATATCCCGGTGTTGCGAATAAAACGCCGAATGAGCATATTTGCATACGCCGGCCAGATGTGAACTTCCTATTAGAAGCATGACGCGTACTCTTTTTCCTTACTCTTTTGCGAGTAAACTTAGATGTCAAATATTAAGTACAGAAAGTCCACCAGTATCTAAACGGATCATAAGAAAGCCCTTACAAAATACAAAACTACTAGTCAGTCTACCAGGTATTTTATAGACCACAAGTCACTGCTTTCGAAGTTTCATGGCATTCCAGACGAATTAAATATCGAACTATTTTCTTCAGCAATAAGTCTCGCTTTTTTCTCAAAAGCGATGATAATTAGAGGTTAGTCTGAAATCACGGAGATTACGCCATCAAACATCTTCACGAGAAAATGCGTACTGAGGAACTGAGGAACTCACACTTACTGAGGAACCATTTTTCAACACGACAATTCTAAACTTCATGCTGCTTGTGCTACTGTGAATAGCCTGTATTAACTTGGCGTAGCATCGTGCCTACTGCATCTCCGGACTGCCACCGAGAATATCTCGGACATTATTCCTTGGTTATTTCAAAAGGAAGAGTCATTTGCTACTCTTAATATTCTACATGTCTAAGAACTCACAGCCTGGCAAAACATTCTTCAGGCAATTCTTCAGATTAATGGCCCTAAAAATCGTGTGTGTGTGATTATGGCAAAGCCTCGAGGGCTATCTGCTTAAGGGGAGGGATGCCTTCGTGGAGGACTTTCTAAGGGAAACTGGCTCGTATACACGTTACACATGGGGAAAACCACGGAAACGCTCATGCAGCCAGCCCGTTCGCGGGATTCGAACCTCGGACCGAACTACCAGTGTTCAGCGACTTTACCGCTCGGCCGCTGGTGGGCTCTTATTCTCGAAGGAGTGGTGTGAATTTATGAGGGCGGTTAAAATATCTTGTTCACGAAAGTACTAAAAATGATCACCTTGGTCGTGCACTTCCAGCGCTAGTAACCTTTTACTGCAGAACTCCTGAAGACTTAGGCTATGCAACCAAATACAAGGCACAAAAGTTTTCATTTGGGCAGACCTTACATTTGTTCTCATGTTGTTATCAGATAGGATTTGAGAGAAATTTAAAATCCCTAAAAATCGATCGAAATTAATGTCATTTCAAAGTTGCTTTTTACTTAATCGTAGGTTTTACACTGGTTTGTTTATCTTCTAATCTCTGATGTTTGGGTCTAGCTATACTTAATTTTGCAAGGAAGAACCTACATAAGAAATACTCTGGTGTACTCTGAGTAGAGAGAGTACTCTGGTGGATTAAATGATCACCTTATTTATTATGCGCTCAAATGTCCATTCCATTTGATTTATTATTAAGGTTTCAGTCTTCATGTTCGCTGGTTGATTTCAGATGAAATTCTATTATTTGTTCCCAAGTATCATCAAATTACGCTAGTTTTTTTTTTTTTTTTTTTTTCATCGGCTGTTTAAATAATACACAGCAGTGCTAAGTAGACGGTATGGGACTATTAAAACAACAGGGCTATAGAACTTCAAATAAGTAGCACCGTGTTACTGTCACTGCCCTCTAGTCTCATATTACAGCTAAATAAAAAAAACTTTTGGGATTATGTGATATATTCCACTGCATTTTCCCCATTTGTTTAGTGATATATTTCGAAATTTTTTTTTATATTCTTTATATATTAATTAATAAAATGCTCTTTTCAGTGCCTTCAAAGGAACTCAAATGTTTCTCGTTGGAAAACCTTGTTCTCAGTGCAATGAACCAGGATCTATATGCTACAAAAACCTGTGTAGTGAGTATTCACCGTCTTAGAATTATATACATCAGTATAATCTCGTTGCCATTTGACTGATGATATTGATTCTTATTTCAAATATTTAAAGCATGTGTTTAAGATCTGTCTCTTCTGTTCCACATAAACTAAACTAGATCCTACAATGAACCTGGCGAATTCTCGGACAGGCGTGAAGGAAATAGTAGCACAGAAGAAGGGTGAAAAGTAACTCTTTATTAATTCAACTCCCAGAACAGAGAGGCGTGGGCTTCATGCTTTACAATAACACCGACTATCTGCGGTGGAACTTAAATGTAGAATTTGAAATCTAAAATAGAATAGTGTTGGGTTAGCACGTTAAGTTACGTCTAAGTTAGGTTGACTCCACAAAACGTAACAGGCGTGACGATTATCTGAACTGGCGAAGGGGTGTACTAGCTTAACAGCGAGATAGCAATGAAACGTGCGCCGGCTAGCGAAATCACTCTCTGAATAAACTCAGAGATTCACCCGTTTAAATACTCACTTCATTAACTTTAAATTTACATCCTGACGAGGAAATGCGAGGGAAAGTTGAGGAGTTCAGGAAAGATATCAAACTTGAAATAATTTGTTATGCAAAATAAGGGAAACCCAATATGTTAAGCAGTAAAGAGTGTAAACGTTTAGTATAAATCGAAGAGCTTTCATATTATGACAACAGCCAGCCTAGAAACATAAAAGTACCTGCAGAAAAAATTCTCTCTAATGTGAGTGTAAGAGAAAAGTACGTATGTAGCTTCAGAATCTGCCATCTGTTAACAATATTTTTGATGTCTCAAAAGGAAAAGTTGCCAAATTATCAAACAATAAATGAAAAATGGCAAATTGTTATATAGAATTTGCTTTACGGAATTATTTTAGACCACTATTGTAAGTACATTTCAAAGATAATTTTGCAAAGATAGATAAGCGACCAATCATTCGTCCAACCGTGTACCTAATGTAGCTCAAGCCCACCTTCGCTGAAGGCCTTTCGCGCACGAATCGCTATGGAAGTGAACAACAGTCACACAGACTATCACGTATTTGCATAGCGACTACATGGTTTCTATCTAGCAATGGCGACAGAGTGAACTGCAACAGCGCTAGCAACCCCAACAGCGGGAACAAAGCAATGTTTCACAGTGCTCAGTTCATTGAGCTCTAATCGAGTACAGTTCATCGAGCCTTACTTAATGTATTAATTTATCTTTTTATGTATGTAAAAATTGTTAAATGTTTTATGTTAAATATTCATTGTCACGCTCAATGTATTAGACAGCTGATTGTACCAAGTATATCCATGTAGCCAGTCATACATTTACCTGTATTGCAATTAATTACCTAAAGAAATTATTAACTGTTCACGTTGTGAAAACCCATTACAGTGCTGTTGTTGTTACTAATGCTAACTTTGTAGAGACATTAGGATTTTGATGCTAAGAGAGGTGAAAAATGAGCAATGCCCTCGCCGGGAATCCAACCACGGAACTCTGGAAATACGGGCCCAGCATGCAGAACACTAAACCACGAAGGGACGCTAAGAAGGCGAGAAATACCTTATATACTGCCCCCCTTTTAAAGAGCTACTGGGGGTTTTAGGGGACCCAATCGCCAAATTCTTGGAGAATCATCATCCACCACCCTTTTAGTTCGGGCGTCACTGTAGAGACCTCAGTTATTTTTTAAGCAGGAGATGTGAAAAATGAGCAACGCCTTCACCGGGAATCGAACCACGGACCTCTCGAATACCCGCCCAGCATGCAGACCACTACACGAAGGCGGGAGAAATACCTTAACTTGTCTGACCTATAGTCAACCCAAGCCCATGAAATTCCTTGTGGCAAGGAGCGCAATTTTACGTCTGTCGTTGGCAACAGCCTTGAGCACCTTACAGGTGACAGTGCGATATTTTGTAAAGCATTTATGAGTTTTTGATTAAGAAACTCAATGATTTCAAAGCAAGCAATAGCGACACTATACAGGGAAAAAAAAATCAAAACGTTCTTATCTCGAGCGCCCGAGTGTGTGTATCGGAAATTCTAAAGATATGCTCTTTTTAAAGTATTTTGCGATACTGCTCTTGAATTTGAATTTTATGGTTTAAGTGCGAAGAACATGATATTCAATAAATAAAAGTAACACGCAAAACGTTTAAAAAAAATCCTTTGTGCGTCATATAAAATCTGAAAACTTTCAGATTTTTTGTTACTTATTTATATTAATTTTTATTTATTTATTTTATTTTTATGAACTACTCTAATAATTATTATTTTATTTATTAATTATAATGAACTATTTTCTTGATGGGTCATCCTAGATGGTAGAGTAGCTAGCAGATCTGACTGCTAGCCCGAAACTAAATGTATTGATTCAACCCCAGCATATTGCTCTTACGCAAGTGTTCCGCCATTGAGGGAAAATATTTTATTTAATATTGGTAATGACTAAATAATGATATTTTTTATTAGTAAATATATAAATTACGGGGTAAAGTGACGTAAAGAAATTTTAAGAAATTACAGCTGTGTGATAATAGGTCCTAGGTCACAGCGGAAACGAATTTTTTTAGTAGAAAAGCTTACATTTGTTATTTATTTATGCACTAAATGAAGATACTGCCATAGTTATTTATAACCAATTAAATTAATATATACCTAACGGTTTTTATTTTTAGTAACAAAAGAGCAATGTAAAAGAAATCCAAAGGAATGCGGTAAGCATATATATTATTTGCTTTTGATAATTCTCATTTTATATTCTTTTTTACTTTAAAACAGAATATCCTTTCATAAATACAATTAAATACTTAAATTACCATTAAATAACTTTTACAATTAATTCCGTAAGCTTTTAATAATTGAGATCTTTTTTATTATAAATAAGGGTTTTCGAAGGACAAAAGGACTACATTTGAGTAAAAACAACCCAGATTGAAATAAATATTCTTGTCAATTTGTCCTCTCCACAAAAATGAAAATTAAAGAAAAAAAATCTGATGTGTGCACCACATGACTTCCTTGTAGGGAAAATATATAATGATACGCTTTTTTTTTCTGAATTTCATTTAAACTTATATCCTCGAATTTCATTACCGAGCTAATTCGCATTCAATTAATTCAGTTCTCACTTCGCGAGAAGGCCAAAATACATAAAACCTTAAAATACCTATATTAAAAATTGAAAATATAGAAAAATATAAAACACCAAATACAGTTAAAACAATTTTCACAAAATAGCAATTCTTCAGAATTACAAAGTAGCAAATTAGAGTTTCTAAACAAAAACAAGCAATTCGAACAGCAAGAAGGCAGATCATTCGGTACACAAAACTTAATGTTTACTTTTTGGCCCCACTCGGCAAAAAGGTACTGAATGTGCAGAAACTGACTTAATTCACTATTCTGCTACTTTTCAAAGGTAAGAAAATATGACTGCTATGGTAAAAAAATTAAGCTTAGCCGCACTTAAACAAGTTTTAAATTGTTGATAATTCTACGACTATTGTATGCAGATTAACTAAAGGCGTAAAAACCTTAACCGGAAGATAAGACGTTCTGAGGCTACTCGTTTTTAATTTATGCGAGATACATACATACATACGTACGTACAGACTTCACAAAAAAATCTCTTCTGAATCCTTTTTACAACTCGTTTTTGGGAAAGAGAGTCCTTTATTCTGTCCTTACGTATAGATGTCACGCAAATACCTCGTTAAATTGCATTCGATAGCGGTCAAAATGGATATTTTCTTCGAAATATGACACCCGAAAATTTTCGCGATTACAATACTTCCTTTACATCGTACAAGAAAGTAAAAAGAGTTAATTGGCATTTAAAAGAAATTAAAATTATTTTTGTACATATTATAATTGTATGAAAATATGAAATAATATTTGTGTTCATAAGAGGAAGAAACTATGAAAATAATGAAATTATAATAAACTAAATCTGGTATGTTAATTAAATTCAATTTAAAATAAATTGTCTTATTTGTTACTACGGTAATTGAAGACACAATGCTTTACATGTTATGGGGAGTTAAGAAATTCGTGCTTGTCTATTTTAAATTTGAACTGATAAATTTCGAATAAGGAAGAAAATAAGAATTGAACACTGAATCATTCGATTTGACTGAAAAAGTGCAGCGAATCTCTTCATGAAGACTAACTTCCATAGAAAATCACCTCTGAAAAGTGAACCTTACCGAATGTCTGAGAACGCAAAACTGCATCGGTAAGGAACATTATTCCCCTAAGGGGAGCACCTTCACAAAAAACTAACATCGTATAGAGTCATAAGTAGTGTTACACAGTTTCACTATATTTTTAATAACATTACATTACTTAAATTTTTTTAAATTTCTGCGAGCCGAAGTTATTATTCTTTGCTTTATTTCTCGGGGATTTTCTCTTATACGCATATTTGGTAGCAATTAATAACATATGTGATAGTAATAATGACAATTTCCTTTTCTTACGAAAACAGCTGAAGCGAAGTGCAATTTGAAATGCCACAACTGCGGTCTATTGGATAAAGAAAATTGTAAATGTAACTGCCCTGATGGTTGGGACTCACCTGATTGTTCTAGTGAGTATAGTAGTGATACCTGATTATCTAGTAGTGATCCTGATTGTTCTAGTGAGTAGCAACATTTTTTTACTTATAATAATGCTTAAATCAGCACTCTTAGTAAAACTGGAAAATAGATATGCGCTGCTTTATGATTACCAGTCAGTTTTCAATCTTTTGTTTCCAGAAATAATGCTTTTCTTCGATATAATTTATCAATGGTCATCATTCATTCGTAAGTGTTGTATGAAGGCCTCTAGTTAACATTTTTCTTTCATTATGAGAACAAAAAATATATAATTATTATTTTATTGGAAAACTAATAGAGAGTTTAAAACATAAGTATTTCTAAGTACCTATTGCAAATTGTTATTCCATTAAATTAGTACACTAAACTGTTTTGAAAAAACATCTAATGAAAACGAAGCATGGCATAATAAAGAATAAAAGAATCAAGGTTTTCAAATTCCAGTAAAATAATAATTGTAATAATTAATCCAATATATCAAAGAATCGAAAAAGAACAAAAATGGCAGAATAGAAGGACTTCAGTTGCGTCAAAAATAGGTAGAACTAATTAAATTGAAAACAACATAGTTTATTCAATATTACTGGCAATATTTAGGACAAATGTAAAGACTGTCTGCAAAACATGTTAACAAGTTATAAAGGATAGTTTTCCTAGCTATCACTTATGCGCCTCTTAGATTTTACCGAAGCTTATAGCAACTAAATATGGCTTACATAACTTAGCAAAAATATAATTTGTGAAAATAAACACTTAGTTCATTAAACTATCTTCATATACAGGTTCAACAGAGCGCAATCATCCGGTAGTCTGCAGGATAACAAAATGTTACAACCGCAAATTAGCTGCATCGAATCTACTTCTGAAAATGATTAGTAGTTCTGAGAGCATAAATGAAGACTTCTGAACACCCCAAAGCCAAAATCATGAGATAATGTTGCTGAGCTTCTTGCAGAGGGTTCACTGCGTACGGAACCTAAGTACTTTAAATGTTAATCTTTGAGTGTTAAATGGATCACGAAGGCAGTCAGGGGACTTATCATTCCGTGTTAATCTCTCAGTAAAGTAACTTCAACGCTGAGAAGTTTTTTTTTTTTTTAAACACATACAACCTCTCCTTGTACTACAGATGTAAAACTCGGGGCTTACAGAAGTAGGTTAACTAAAACATTAAAAGTTGCATGCCTGAATAAAACGAACAAAAGAAGAGAACAGAAGCCTGGACTTCACGAAAACATATAAATTCACTGTCAAATCATTCCGAACATTTTCAATCTGCAAGCATAATCTAAGGGCCATCAAAGGTAAGGCATGAGAGAATCAAAAGTTCCACATCTTTAGGTACTTTAAAAAAAAAATTCACATAAACTGTTTGATCTTAGATTAAAACGAAACAGGTAACTTTTAAATTTACCGTGAGCAGATAAAAACTGAGGAGTAAATAAGAGGGAAGAACGTTTTGGTGACCTCAGCACTACAAGATGAAATAAACTGGTGTGCGAAACTTAGTGCCAGTGAGTCAGTTCGTGAAATATGGCTAGAAGAAATCACTTAGACGACTTCACACGAGGAAGAATGATCGGAAAGCTGGAGGAGGGGCGTACTGTACTCACCAGTGTAGCTGCAGAGTTCGGAATCAACAAAAGCGTCGTTTCGTGCGCTTGGAAAGCGTTCCAAATCACAGGTGCAGCTGTTAGAAAGGTTGGTGGTGGCCGCTCGAGGGCGACAACTGCAGGGAATGACCGATATATCGTTATGCAGGCGAAAAGAGGCCGACAGCAGTCAGCAAACTTCATTGCTCAGCAACACTGTACAGCAACGGGGCGACAAGTGTCGCGGTTTACTGTGGCCAGACGCCTTCACAAATTGGGCCTATTCGCCCGCCGTCCTGAACACTGCCTTTCGTTGAGAGTTGGCCACCGAAGCCACCGTTTACAGTAGTGCAGAGAGCACAAAAACTGGACAACTGATCAATGGAGTCCTGTCCTCTTTACGGATGAGAGTCGGTTCAGTACCAGAAGCGATTCTCAACGCGTTTTGATTTGGAGAGAGGTCGGGACCCGGTTTTATCCCGGTAACATCAAGGAAAGACACCGTAACGGTGTTCCTGAAGTTCTTGTCTGGGAAGGCATTATGCTGAACGGGCGAACTGAGCTCCACATTTTCGATAGAGAGTTTGTAACCGGGGATCGCTATTGTGAGAAGGTACTCCTTCACCATGTGCGTCTGTTCCGAGGTGCCATTGGCCAAGACTTGATTTTTATGGATGACAATGCACGGCCACATCGGACTCTTGCTGTTGAGGAGCTACTGGAAAGTGAAGATATCACTCGAATGGATTGGCCAGCCTACTCCCCAGATTTAAATCCCATCAAACATGTGTGGGATGCTTTGAGGAGACGCATTGCAGCACGCTTACATCCTCCGGAGAACACCTAACAACTCAAACAGATGCTGATTGAGGAATGGGCACTCCTACTGCAAGAAATGTTGCACCAGCTGGTTCTGAGTATGCGGAGACGGTGCGAAGCAACCATTGCAGTGAGGGGAGGGTATATCCCATATTAAGGAACATCTGCTTGTTGTTCTTCCTCTTGGATAGACAATCATAAGTCACTATACTTATGCGTTCAATAAAGCTTGTTTTTGTTCGATTCTATACCGTATACATTGTATTCCTTTTTTCAGCTCCGATGCTTTCGTCATCCTGTACGTACATAATACTGTCCTTCATTTCTGCATTTCATGTCTCTCAGTTGATTTCTCGTGGAGTTGTGGCAAAAAACCCTGCTGTTGCTTAAGTTTTGCACAACAGTGTATATTCCCAATTCCACTTAGCTAAAAGCTTCTTATAATAAAAGGACTTCCAATAGCTCCTTTGAAGTCTAGTATTGATATCTATGGGTAAATTTAAGGCATCTTTAGCTAAGAAATCAGCTCTTTTTTTTTTTTTTTTTACATAGAATCCGTGATGAACACGTTCAAAAGCAAAACGGATATCAATTTCCCTATTTTTAAGTTTTTAAGTGAATTGACAGTTAATAGGGTTTCGATAACTAATTTGTCGCTGCTGGTATTACTGTTCAAAAGGTGAAGAGAAGAAAGAGAATCAGAACAAATAAGGTACCTTATTTGTAACCATTCTTGAGGATGCTATCCTCAAAGATGAATCAAGGTTAATGATTCTTGATCTATTTGACGGCGAGATAAATACATAGAAGTTCTGCTTGAAAAACTGTTCATTCATTCCGTAAACGTGTTTAAAATAACAAACCTCAGAATCATGGAGGTAGGAAGTAAGATGGAGTCGCCCTAAACAAGTTTCTCCGTACCCTGCTCTGAAGCACCGGCGATCCCTACGTGGTGACCAAAACATTGGGTCATTTACCATTGAGTTCTATGGGATTTGACGCGTTCGGATGTAAATATTTTGTAATTACGTCGTAAATATACATATAAATGTATATATTTTCTTTTCTACAACACTTCAGAGTCCTAAGTATGTGAAAACAACATATTTTTAAACAACATTTCATTCTGAACGGAATTAAATGCTATACTTTTCACAGGATAGTTTTCTCAGAATGGTTTAATTTGAATGAAATATTTTCACAAGTTTTCGTTAATTACATTAGAAAAAAAAAATTAAGGTAATTCGATTTTATTCGGTTAAGGTACAAAAATTAAGATCAAAGTTTATTGTATATTTATATTAAAATTATGCATTATTTCTTTTCTATTTATAGAGCTTCTTCCTAAAATACTTTCTTAAATATGACATGATTTTTGGCTTCTGAGGCATCTTTTAAATCGAAAAATGTAAGTAATTTATAATTAATGCTCTATTCGGTTTGATTTTAAATTAGAGAATTATTAGGAATTAGCGAAATACTTTAAATAGTACTTGACTTTCTTTGAACATTTCTGAAAGGGAATAAAATAAGTTTTTTTTTTAACTATTATTTAAAACTTGTAACTGAGTTATTGTAAAATGTAAGGGGAATAATTCTTTTAATTATACTTATCAGATTTTTTTTTTAACTCTTCATTTCAACAATACATATTCCAAAACTCTTTATTACGTTCTTAAGTGCGCATCTCATAGCATTTGCTTTACAATACCTTTTAACAGATTGCTTTCCAATACGAACAATTCTTGCTTAAATAGTTTTATAACGTATTTGTCAACAGGATTTCAATTTATGTTTACAATTCAATATTAAGTTTATTATATATTTAGATAACATTTATAATCATTATAAATTAGATTTCTTCACAATACTTTCACAGTTGTTTATAAGTGAATAAATTCTTCAGTTCAAATACATTTATAAATAATTTAATGAATATTTAAGTATTTTGTCAAAGGCAGATACATGCTTTTTGCAAGCACATGCATAAATACCCATACATATTTCCTATTTATCATTTGCGGCATGTGCAAATCTTTAATTTCTGTGCATTCACTATATTTTTCGTGTAAAGTAATTTACACTAATTTAGCATACACCCGAAAGTTTTACATAAATATATATGAATATAATTTGAATGAAAATTATAAGTATTATTTTTAATACCCACTCAAAGGTCAGTTTTTCTTCAAAATATATCCACGATGGCATCTCTCTCTTTAGGCAGATAGCCCTTGCATGCGTTACTCTATTTAATAAAAACTTAATCTGACCTATGTGCCTAATTACAAATATTTTAACATACATAATTTTATATTTACATTTAGCCATCAAGTTTCAAAATTTTCAAATCTTCTAGAAAATAAATTTTGGCAGATCTCTTTTAGCAATTTTCTTATATTTTTGTAGTGCAACTGCTTAGAATTTTATAAAACAAATTCATAATCAAAATCGCTGTTGTTAGTTATCGAAAAATAACCAAGATGTGATTTTTGCGTAAATGTCACTAAACTATACAAATTGCTATTATCCATCACATTATGAATGTTTCTTTCATGTGAAAGTGTCCCTTTTTCGAT